CCCACCTGAACCTGGCAGCCCTGCTGAGGTAGAACTGTTCTGTTCGATGCGCAGGAGGTTGGATGAGAGTTGTAAGCAGGGAGCTATTATTATAGCTTACAATACACTGAGCAGCGGGAGCACAGTAAACTGATTTTGAAGGATTTTATGTAGAGGGTTTAGACACTGAGACTCTAATATTGAAGACTGGACTGTGCTTATGGGACTGTAGGAACCCAATGTCAGGTTTCCGTGGGTATCAAGTGGTGATAAGCGCCTGTGCTCTGGGGCAGCAGCGGGTTTCAGGGCTCAGCTGTGGGTGCCCCGGGCGCCAGTGGGCTCATCCGGCGTGCGTAGCAGCCTTCCTCAGAGGGTTATGGGAGGACCCGTGGAAATAATGTGTGCACAGTGCTCACTTAGTGTCTGGCTCCAGGTACTGTGCCTTTTGTTCTTTGCAGTTTCTCCTCCCCCCTCCCATACACAGCCATTGGTAACAAGCACTTTGGCCAAAATATTAATCACCTCATTTGTCTGGTACACAGGACTGGTCTAGAGAGCTGAACCATTTACGTGTGTAGTTTTCTTTTACCATTTCACTGCCTTTTTGAAACTTTAGAAAGGGAAGTGGGCCAGGGGTGGAGTGGGGTTGAGAAGCCTTTACAAAATACACACACACACACACACACACACACACACTTTAATGAGTAACTTCATTTGTTATGTCATCAGTATAACAAATTTGTGTATATATATGTGTATTTGCCTATATATGTGTGTGTGTGTATATATATATGTACATATATATATATATATATCATCAGGCTATCAAATGAATAGATGTAGAGGCAGCTGTACCCTTTTGATATATAACCAACTAGCCTGACAAGATGACAAGCTGTAAAATTATCTTTTGCAGATCTTATAGAATTATAGAATTATTAAGAGGTCACCTGAGCCAATTCCTTCAGTTTGTAGGTGAGAAAACCTGAAAGCCAAATGGTTTAAGGCTATATTCCTAGTTTGTAGAGTTGGGCATAAAATCCGTCCGGCCGAGTCCAGTCCTCTTTCTCACTCCCCTGTCCTTGGCTACGCTGGGCCTCTAAGGTGGCTCTAACATGTGCTATTCAGGGGATGACATGTCTCAGGTGTCACCCAGCCCTTCTGCTGACTATGGAGCTTACTTCACAAGTCTCCAACCCCTCTAAGCCTTGATTTCTTCACGTGTAACCTGACAATGGCACCTGGGTCACAGGGCACCTAGGGGATTAACTGATATAATGTATGCAAGCTTATTTTTTTTTCCCCAGAGACCCTTACATACTGTGAATCTTCAGTAAATGATTGGGTTCTTATATAAATAATTCCTTTAGAAATTATTAATGTAAAAAATTATTGTAAAAATCATAATATACAGATTAGTATAAAGAAGAAAAAGAAAAGTGCCCATAACATTATCATTCAGAGATCATCTCAAACTTTTTCTTATGCATTTTTCTCCTTTAGTTTTGATTGCACTTCACTATCTGTAAAACACAGCATGCATTTCTGTGTCAGGGACCCATTAGAGTGAAACACTAACCACCAGTCCCGGGAGAAGAGGCCGCGACAGAGCCCAATCACCGTTCTGTCCAAGGAGTTGAACGTTACTGTGAGGAATTACCCTAAGTGCATGCATCCATATGTCAGTCTCCTCTAGTTTTTGCTGCCATTTCATTACTTTTTTTTTTTTTTTAGAATATGAATTGTCCGTTCCACAGACCTTGAAAGTGTGACCTGCTTGAGCTGTTTAGGGACTTCAGTTTACATGGCTCATGATTAAGCTACAAAACCCCCTCAAATCAAAGAAGTTTAAATCATTAGGAGGAAGGATGTCAAAAATCAAATTGGTTAATTTTATATTCCTCCTTCAAAAAAGTGATTTACAAAGCTCTCACAGTGGAATGCGTATAATTCTCCAAAGGTCTAGCCTAGCTGGTCTTTTTTCTGGTTTTGCTGCCTCTTCATTTTGTTGCCTGAGGCCAATGTACTAAAAAGATTAGTTTCCTTGGAAGAAGCTTTGCCTTCAAATCCAAGGTTATTAGAGTAACGGTTCTGCTCCTCTATTGATTCTTGTGTGTGTGATCACGAACTGGGACAGTTTTCAAGTCCTGGACTAACCGTGGTGGTCTGTGGACTGTGTTCAGGATGTGCAGCCCCTCCACTGGCAGAGAGCTCGGGTGCATCGGGCTGCGGGCTCCAGCAGTCGGGCAGGGTGGGAGGCAGCGGGAGGGCGCAGTGCCGCAGCCCTGCGTCCCTGCGCTGGCAGGTAACACAACCCTGTCCCAGGGAGAGCACCAAGGGTCGCAGGTGGAAAAGTGCGGCCGAGGCAGTGGGTGGACGGCAGCAGCCACAGGTTGACACAGGACACTGGGCTTCTGAGACCCAGGATGGAAGAGGAGATGAGGAGGGTGATTTGGAACGGAAGTGTCCATATGAGAAAGGCAGTGGGCTCGCTCTGGTGTCCTGACATCCTGCCGGGGGGCGGGGGGTAAAGTTTCTTATAGGAGCCTGACTAGATCAGACAGAAAACAGGGATTAGGAGGCTGATTGATTAGCTTGAGCAGGACTTTCCCTGAGTATCATTGATGACTCTTATTTAGGAACAGGTTGCTCATATGACAACGTGGAATTACTACCAGTGCTCACCTTCTAATCCCGGTAATCTTCTGAGGTTTAGAAATAAATGCCCCCCCCCCCCCCCCCCCCCGGCCATGGAGAGATTGGTTTGTGTTCAATTTAATTATCTTCTTAACTAGTTATCCTGTCACTGTGTACAAAAGCAACCTTAAAAACTCACCTTCCTCATTCTGTGTCAAGATGCTCGTAGTTGGTTTTTTCTCCTTTATGAGTGAATGTGTGACAGTAAGATTTCTTGCTAAAAGCTGAAATAGACTGACTCCATTTTCCATGCTTTCAGGAATGCCCTTGAAGTCTTAGAAAGCATTATTCCGTCATTTAGAGGAACAAGAACTGAGATAAATGATCAGTTTCAAGGAGAAATTAAAGCCTTGAGTATTCTATAGGGAAGTTGTATTTTAGAAGATTACCTTAGACTGTATTTTCATCAGAGTGAGTTTGGAAGGTTCTTCTTAGGGTGGAAGAATGAGGAGGAAATGTCCTTTTCTTTAACAGTGTCCGATCTCACTAATGTCTCTCTTTTGCTTGATTTTCTTTATTCATAGTCGTTTCTTTGTTTCATCTTTCTCCGGTATGCTATTCACAAGGAAATTCTTCATCCTGATGTTGCTCTGAAGTGTAAACCTACCCTGCTTGCCCACCCTCATCATTTTGTGTGGGGTTGAGGGTCTCTCAGTGAGGTCTGCAACCCATTTGAAGCCTTCATGTTATAAATATGCTGTATAGCCATGTTTTCTTGAGTCCATCGACAAAAATTTAATTTGTACTAAGTAATTCAGTTTGGCCCAGCAGTGCAAGGTACAGGGGGTACGGTGCTGCTGGGACCCACTGGGCTTCGTCCTCTTGCTTCTTTTCTGTTGGCTCCCCCTCATTTTTCTCATTGTGGGGCCCCAGACACTGCCTTTCATGGTGATATTGCTGTGAGGTCTCAGTAATTAGGATGGGCATCCAGTCAAGTTAGTACATTCTTTTTTTATGAGTAGAAACCATTTCAGCTTTCCTCATGGGGAGTCCTTTTGAGCCTCTGAAGTTATTCACAAATATGGTAAAGTCTAATTTTAGTCCACAAGAAGAAAAAGAGAATATTGCACTTTTCCTCTTCAGGGACTCCACCCTCCCTTCGGTTTTTTTGTTGCCTTCTGCTTAATCGCTTCCAGCTCATTTGCAGGCAGCTAGCTGGCTGTGTGCAATCCCAGCAGTTATTTTGGTCTGAGCAAAAATCACCTTGCTTTAAGTGCAGTTTCTAGGTGAGTGAAACTACTGGTTCTTTTTTTTTTTTTTTTGAAAACACCCTCGGCAGAAAGACAGACCATTTTGTTCAACTCTGCGTTACTGAATCGGGAGGCTGCAGTCTCACGCACGTGCCTGCTTTCTCAGTGACCTTCCAAGTCATCCTCACCTCCATGCTTTGTTGATGTCTGTAGGTCCTCCTGGCCATAGAAAAACAATTATTTCAATGGCTATTTATTATCTGTCTTTAATAATCTTATTATGTGTTAGTAAATGGGTGATATGCAGTCTGACAATTGTATAGCCAGTTTTGACAGTGAGGTCAGACATCAATATTACTCAATGCATTTTTTATTTTTTCTTTACTAGAAATTGTGAATTTGCCGAATCCTTTTTGATAACCTCTGTTGAAGTGATTCCTGTAAAAACTGGCGTGTTTCCTTTGTCTTCCTCCCCACAACTCGCCAGACTCTTTGTGCATTGACAGAACAATCCATCTTCCAGAATGGATCTCACAAAATCACTGAGGGTTTTTTCCCTTTTCCTTTCATCTCTATCTCCAGTGGTTTTTATCATCTTGGTCCTTAGTGAGAAGTGAACAATCAGAAAATGAGGGAAAGCCTGGGTCAATTAGCCTTAAACACCAGTTGCATTGCTAATTCTGAGTTAAATGACTGTGGCCCAAATGCCAGACATGCCACAGCAGGCAACGAACGCATCATTCCTGTCCTTGTGCTAAAGTCACAGAGGCACCTTTCCCTTCTCATTCCCCTGAGGGAATGTTCAGGTCTTTTAACTTTCTGCTGTAAGACCCCTCCCTCTCCTGGTATAGAAATATGAGAATTAAATGATAAAGGAGTCAGTCACTGTGGAGTATTTTGAAGGACAGATATAAAACATAATCATATTCTCCTTGGGACCTTTGCTGATTATTGTTTCATCTGAGAGGACACCCATCTCCGGATCCCTAGCTAAAGTGTGGGGCTCTAATAACAATAACCCGCTTCAGTATAGTGCTCGTGGCGCGTCAGGAACTGCACTCAGGGCTTTGTCTGTACATTAGTGCATTTACAGATGAGCCAATGTTTTTAGTGCGTCTGACTTATATTTTTCAGGTTGAAAATTGGTGTCCTCATTTACCTTGGAGAGCAAAAAATCCCTATGAAGAAGCTGATCATAATTCATTAGTAAGTGACTTTGGAAACCTCTTATTAGTCTTGTGATTTGGGTCTGCTGCCAGTTGATATATGTGGAGTCTTCTAGAAATGCCAGGTGTAATCTGAAATGGTGGCAAACAGAAGAACTTCTGTCCTCAGCCCTGTGGACATCTCAGTGACCAAGTCAGTCAACTAGTTAGCACATATATTTATGGAGCAGTCCTCTGAGGGTCCTTAAGTGACAGGCTACTGATACGAATAAGACCCTGTGCCAGATATGGAGGCACTCAGGTCTGATGAGGGTGATGGTTGTAAGCAGTGACCATACCTGTGTTAATGCTAGAATGCAGACCCGTGGAAATAAATGAGAAAGTGTGATCTCAGCCTGCAGGGATGAGCAGATATTGCAAAGAGATGACATTGGAGCTGAATTTATGATGATGAGTGAGTTTATACTGGGTCAAGGGGGTAGGCATCAGCTGTGAGGGGAGAAGGTGAGTATATAAGAGCGTGGCATTTTCAGGGAGTAAACGAGGGTTCAGTGGGAGAAGGCCATAGGCATTTGGATACATTGGGGTGAAGGTGAGATTGGAAAGGTAGCTAGGGGGACAGGGAAAGGTTTTATATGTTACATTACAAGCTTAAGTCTTTCATCTTTACATGGGGGATCTATAAGCTTTCTAGGTAAAAGTCCAGATAGTAAATATTCCCATCTTTGTAGGCCGTGAGGTCTCTGTCACAGCTACTCAATTCTGACCCTGTAGCACAGAAGGCAGCGTAGACAAGATGTAAATGCATGGGCATGGCTGTGTTCCAATAAAAGTTCATGGACAAAAACAAGCAGTGGGGAGGAGGGTTTGACCCAAGACCTGTAGTTCAGATCATGGGAATCTGGGGAAGTTGTTGAATGAAGGAGGGATGTGATCAGGTGGGTGTTTAGACGGAACCATGGCAACTGCTAAAAAGTTGATCCAGTTACATGAAATCAACACTGATGTTGTTATTATTTCTGTCATTTTAATCACGTTGTATCCAGCTGTATTACAAACATGTTCTTCCTGGCTTTTACATAGTTCTGGCCTGAATTTCATGCAATTGTAGTAAGAAAATGTTATTCCTGGCTTTTGAATTCTTTAGAAAGTAATGAACTTTTATTTGGATTGGGAAAAACCTGGAAGAGGAGCATGTATTTCACCACTTAATTTTGTGGACAGGAGGAGGCTTTTGGCAGCCTCCGTGCCAGGTAGGCTGTTAAGAACTGACTTCAGTTGTCCCAGGATTGCGCTGCCCTGCGGTAGATTGAAGTGGCCAGTAAACTGAGGTGCAAAGAATTTCAAGGTACATCAAACAGGCTTATTTTTAAAAATGCTTTTTAACGTAGCTCAGGGCTTTGCAGTGACTCTGCTTTCTTTCCCAGTTTCTAATTTTTTAAATGACGTCCCTTTTGGCAGATCAGCAGCCGGGGGCCTTTGCTTCAATTTGCAATTCTGGGACCTTAAAGCGAAGCTGTGCAGCAGCGAAGACTCACTTTTGAAGCCCTGTATTTAATTGAGCACCCCTTTCAAGTTTTCAAATGTCACCTCGGGAAAACCATTATGCTTTCTGACTTTTCATCTTCTCATTTGTATTAAACTTCTATTTCTAGGCGGAAATTCGTACGGATTTTAATATTCTCTACAGCATGATGAAAAAGCACGAAGAATTCCGGTGGATGAGACTGCGGATCCGGCGCATGGCCGATGCGTGGATCCAGGCCATCAAGTCCCTGGCGGAAAAGCAGAATCTTGAAAAGAGAAAGAGGAAGAAAGTGAGTTTGTAATTAATTCCATTCAGTTAGATGTCGGTTTTCTCTTAAAATTCGAATTTGCTCGGGAACAAGACTAAGAGACGTGTCACGCCCCCACGACACTCCTTCGGTGGGGACCCGCCCAGTCTGTCCAGTGGGAACCAGCCCCTTCTGCATTTCCTGTGCCGGCCGCAGTCGTCCTGCTTAGCTGGGTGCATCCAAGCAGAGTATCTGCCTGCAGGATTTTCCCGTGAACCATCTGACTCTCTCTCAGTGGTGTCAGGAAACTTAATCCTCTTTTCTTTACCTGAATACAACCTTTGAGAACTTCCTGTTACATCATCGTGACAATTTCATAGTTTTGGAGTTTGTCGGTTCTGGGCTTTGGTGAGTTCCATTACTGCTCTGTACGGTTGGTGCTTCTGCTTACATTCTTGAAAGAGAAATACTGTGAATTAAACTTGAGCCGGTTTGTTCAAGTTCATGAGGAAATGCCTGGGAAAATCCTGAGCATGGGAAATTCTGTCCCCTATTAGTCAGAGACTAAGTGACTGTGGCGCTAGATGAATTGTTCTGATGATGAACAACTGAGCAAAGTAAACAACATGTTCCTATATCTAAAAATAAATTTAAAAAGTGCTTGATATTATTTCTAATTTGGTTCATTTGATATCCCTGAAAAAGAAAATACAGATGTGCTTCCCAGTCCCAAGTCACAGTTTGGTGGGTCAGTTCTGCTCAGATCCCTTGAGTTCATGAGATGGCAGCTCCAAACATCCCGGCACGGAGCGGCCTTCTACAGAAGAGTGCGCGGTCGCAGAGCCCGTGGGCTGTCAAAAGAAGTGAAGAGCATTTCTGTGGAACCCTGTGCAGTAACCTCCAGGATGTATCGTTAGGTGGGGAGATGTTAGGTAGAGAATAGGAAACACTATTTTTTGAGGGGAGAGAGAATTTATCTATAAATCTATATCTATACTTCCACATATACATATAGATGCATACATCTATACACACATATAAAATGTATATTTAGTATACATATATACTTCTTGCTCATATTTTTAAAAAATGGTTAAAATGCTAAATTTTATGATATATATACTTTACCACAATAAAAAAGCTCAAATAAAGGGAAGGAGGAAATAGTGTCAAGGCAACAAGTGTAGAAAACAGACAGACTTCTCTGAATATTTTACTTTGTAGATTTGATACTGGAATCATTTTACGGACGTGTAAAAACTTAATTACCAATAAAAAGCAGTACTTGAAAATCACAAGGAATATAAGACAGCTCATTTCATATCTAATTTTATACAAATGCATAAAGAAGTACTATTTTTTACTGATTTTAGAACACAGTAAATTGGACATTTTCTGATGGGATATCACAAGGGGCAAAAAAACTGCCAAAATATCTCTAAACAGCCTTGGCCCAGTGGTCAGTTGGTTGGAGTGTCATCCCATGCACCAAAAGATTACAGGTTCAATTCCCAGTCAGGGCACTTACCTGGGTTGTGGTTTTAATCTCCACTTGGGGGGGGGGGGTGCAGGATGCAGCCAACTGATGTTTCTCTCTCACATCACTGTCTGTCTGTTTGTCTGTCTCTCTCTCTCCCTCTTCCTTTCCCCCCACTTCCTTTCTCTAAAATCAATAATAAAATATCCTAAGTCAAGGATTAAAAATATTTTTAATGACTTTTACTAATCATGGAGGAGGTGGGTAGTGGTCATATTCTTATTCTGAAGCCATTATATATATTGGAATAAAGCAAGTAATTATGTTAGAGTGCTCGAAAAGTGGGATTTTTAATGTGGGAGAGAGGAAGTAACAGATGTCAGATGGGTAATGTTACATAAAATACTGTGATCCTGAGTTTGAGTTGGAGGAACCAGTATGAACTCTTGATTAGTTCTATCCGTGAGGAGAAAAGCATTTTCTAGCTGTGTGCTGTGGAAAGGCCTACAGACAGTGGTAACCTACAGCACCCGTAGCACCGGACTTAGATCTTTGAATGCCCTTTCCACCCCATGATCTGAGGTCCTTAGAAAACTGGCTGATTAGAGTCTGAGACAGAATGTGTACAATGAGGTTGGAATACCTTGTCATACCAAGAAACTATCAAAGACTGAAATACTTACTAGCCTTTTGTAAAAAAATGTAAACTGTGTTTCAGAGTGCTCAAATAGTTAATATAGGGTAGTTTCTCTTTATAGAAGTATTCCTGCTAATAAATGCAGAAGAAATGAGAGAATATCACCACTCTGCCACCCCTAATGGATTAATGCGTTTAGTGATCATCAATAGCTGCTAACATCGCAAAACAAAGATTGTTCCCACCCATGGAAGGCGGTGCACAGCACCACCTGTGAAGTAGTATTGCCAAAAAAACTGAATATGAGTTTGGTCTTATCTGTAGATCTAATTACTGATTTACCATAAATACAATCAGCAAAATCCAGAGTGTGAGAGAGACTACTGGATATATAACCTGGTTTCTTTGACAAATGAATTACAAGCCCCTCACCACCCCTACTCCACCCCTTCCACCCCCGCAAAACGATAATCAGGCATTGCTGTAGGTTAGAGACAGCTAAGAGACATATGAGGCAATTACAATTTATGCACTTTCTTTAACTTCTGACTAGAACAACTACAGGAAGTGTAAGCACTAACTAGGAACTGGGTAATAGCAGGAACTAATAGCTATTCTAGGGGCGTTAGTGATGTTATAGTATTTTTTAAGTGAAGATATGTTTCTTTTAGAAATATACATTGAAATCCTTATAGGTGAAAACATGATACCTAGGATTTGCCTAGGGGTTGGGAGAAAATGAGGGGTATACATTAAAACTAAGATTTGTAAGAGTTAATATTGTTGAAGTTGTGTGAGAAGTACATCAGAATTGACTTTACTGTCATGTCTGCTTTGGTGTGTATTTGAAATTTTCCATGTTATGAGCATAAAAATATTTCAGCTGTGGAAAATAGCCCAGTGTTATTAAAACAATATTTTATTGTTCCGGCTTACCCTCCTTTAGTTTTGAGTTTTCAGATATATCCTATTTTTAAAAGAAGGATTACCTGTCCTATCTCCTCATAGCTGCACCAAAGGCAGTTGTTCCTCTAAACCAACAATGAGAAAAATCACTTCCTTCCTTTCTTTCTACTTTGTAGAGAAACTGCTTACCCCACGTTGAGATTGCATTACAAAGTAAACATGGCATTAGAATTGGTCGGTTGCTTTTTAGTGTGTTACTGTGGAGTTTGTACTTGGTTCCGTGAGAATCAGCATGTGCCTCTTCTTTGTGTTTTTCAGGTCCTTGTTCACCTGGGACTCCTGACGAAGGAATCTGGATTTAAGATTGCAGAGACAGCTTTCAGTGGCGGCCCTCTTGGTGAATTAGTTCAGTGGAGTGATTTAATTACATCTCTGTACTTACTGGGCCATGACATTAGGATTTCAGCTTCACTGGCTGAGCTCAAGGAGTAAGGAGATTATTTTTCAATTTTAAAATCAGAATACAAAAAGAAATTGTAAACTCTTAAAGCCCTCTATTAGTGAGTAATTTCTTGTGGAGGAAAATGAAAGTGATAATTCACTAAACAGGAGATAAGAAGATTATTTTCAGGAGCTAAATACATACACTGTGAAAAGGATAATATGTTTTCATTGTAGCTACAGGCCCCAGAGGCTTCATAAATGAATGCCAGAAAATTCAAATTAAGGGGTTTATTCTTTGCTATTACAGGTGCTTCCAACATCTGCAGCGCAAAACATTATTGACTTTTCTAATTCCCTGTCTTTTGCTGAAATTCATACCATTTCCTACTCAACATCAAGCTTTCTAAATCTTGAAACAGAGCAGGTTCCTGTTTATAATTTAATTTGGATAGAATGAGTTTCCTGAAAGCCCTGATCCAATCCTTTTTCAATTAAGCAACTTTCAGATCAGAGTCTGTTAACTTTACCTGGGTTTTCTCTTTCACTGAAACTTGCTTGTGGCTGTAGCCCTCTCTTAATCTTTAGATTGACAGAGCTGGCTCAGCAGGAATGCTTAGAGCCCCTTCGCTCCTTTCAGGTAACTGCCCCCTGAAATCCCCCCCCCGCCCTCCCCCCTGCCCCACACAGCCAGGTTGTCCTGTTGCAGCAGGTCAGATGTTACGGAAGAGACACGGTGAATGAATGTTCTGTGTTCAACGATTATGTCCCGCTTCACTCCTACCTTACTGAGGATATTGACTGCCGGACAGGTTACCTGTGTTAAAGTCCAAGGTCCACACCTGATCAGTGGCATGTTGAGATGAAAGCAGTATCAGTAAGATAATATTGGCTTTCCTTTGTTAAATGATTTCCATGTGCTGAAACTGTGATAAGGGCTTTAGTTACAGTAACAGTTTCAACAATGATGACTACCACAATGGCTATTAACACAGCTCAAATTTGTTGAGCACTTACTGTGCTTCAGATACTAAGCATTTTATATGCTTTCATCTTGTTTAGTCCTTAGCACAAACCTGGAAGTAGGTGTTGTCACTTTCTGCATTTTAAAGATGAAGAAACTGAGGTTCAGACCACAACTGAATTGTTTAAGGACACATGGGGAATATGGACTTGAGCCCTATGCCTGTCTGACCTCAAAGCCTATGCTCTTGACCTCTGAACTACATTGCTCCTTTCAGATCTGGATAAACCCAAGTTCTTCTGAACCCTTAATCTCCACTCTGTCCCTTTCGCACGCTGCCCTCCGTTGCCTCCCTCCTGCTTGCTTTAAAACACACTGTGTGCACCGCCTGTGAAGTGGGTGCATTCATGCAGCTAGCACTCATTCCTTCAGTGCTTCTCGGTATGGGATCTACAGATATGACCAGCACATGCTCAAGGGGATGCCAATCTTTTGATAATTACAATTAATACATTATGTAATAATTACAGTAATTACAGTGTGCATAGTACTGATTGAGGTGTGGATGCTATTAGGTAAGTATGTAAAGTGAAGAAACTGTGAATGTTGTTCTCCACTGTTATTTACCACCAGAAAAGTGCCTAGCATACACTGGGTGCTCCTGACTGTTTACCGAGTAAATGAGTGAAAGGGTGAGTGGATGGATGGGTGGATGGATGGATGGATGAGGGTGGGTAAACAAAGAACACTGTAGGAGCCCCAGGGACAAGTGCTTTCTAGGAAGGTCAGCAATGGCATATTAGTGGTCTGTCAGGAAAAGACTTAGTTTTGTGGTCAAGAGGAAGTCTATAGAAGTCTTTAAGCATTGGTGATAGGGCACAGATGTCTCTTATTTAGGCAGATAATTGTGGAAGAGTGTAGAGCAGTGGATCCCAACGGTGCCTGTACATTAGAACCTCCTGGGAATCTTCAGACTCCCACAGCCCAGAACATGTCAGACTAATTAAGTCACCACCTTTGGGGATAGGACACAAACGTAAGTACCTTCTGATGCCTTCAGATTATTCCAGTGTGCAGAGAAGTTCGGGAACCAGGGAATACCGGTGGGCCAGGAGCTGGGGGAAAATGGCTCCAGCAGGCCAAGTCTAGTCCTGCATGTTTTTGCTACTGAAGTTCCGTGGCAGCTGCGCCCATTGTCCATGTATTGTCTGACTGCTTTCACTCTACAATGGCGGAGTTGAGTAGCTGCCACAGAGAAACCGTGGCCTTTAAAGACAAGAAATATTTACTATCTGCTCATTTACCCCCCCACCAAAAAAAATCCCTCAAATTCTTGGGAACCAGAATTGCTTCTAGGGACCAGAACTGAGGAGCAAGGTGCTCAGCAGCGTCACTTTGGAGTTAACTGAGTCTTGTGTGTGGCTCTTGTCCTCTGAAGTAGCATGTCCACCCATAACTAGGCGAAGGGCTGTTGGGCCTGAGGCTCAGTGATGACCACCTCTAGGAGAATGGCAGTACCCTTAGCAGTGTACTCCCACTTGCGAACTTGGTGCACAGTCAGGTATGTTGGCTCTCTGAGTACAAGTGTGGGTTTGTATGGATGGCCAGGTGGAAAAAGGGTAATGGAAAGGTATAAGCCATAGTGCCAGTCCGTCATATAGTCTAATCAGAAGGAACAACTTGATACAAGAGAAGAAAGGCTAGAAATAGCAGAGGTCAGAAATAGGAGATCAATAAGGACTGGAGTAATAGGAAACTAAGTCACTGAGTATCTAGTGCACATTGGGCACTTTCTATTCAATACCTCATTTAACCACCGAAGAATCCCCGGGGGGTGGCTATCCAGTCTGGTTTTGTGGTATGTGTTTTTTGTTTGTTTGTGTGTTTGAGAATGAGGAAAGATTCTGAGGTTAAGTAACTTTTCTAAGATCTCACAGCTACTACATAGGGGAGAAATTCAGACTCATCTCTTCCTGGGTTTCGAAAGCGGTATTTGTACACCATCATTTGCTCTCGCAAGAGCCAAAGTCCAGGACTCTGGGTGGGCCTGCGTGGGCCTGGATGGGTGGGAAGAATTTGGATAAGCAGTGACTTGGGAAGGGCCTGCCATTTCCCCATATGGATTATTGGATGTTATTTGCCTGTCAATGTTGTTAAGTATAGTACCTTGAAGTAAATTGTTCCCTTTCTTCCCTCTCTTCTGCCCTTTCCCCAGAATAATGAAGAAGGTTGTTGGAAACCGATCTGGCTGCCCAACTGTAGGAGACAGAATCGTTGAGCTCATTTATATCGATATCGTAGGACTTGCTCAATTCAAGAAAACTCTCGGACCATCCTGGGTTCATTACCAGTAAGTGCTACATGCAGTTCTTAATTTTGTAGAGCTTTTTATTACTGTTTTTAAACATACAGTTGAATGATTGTAGGTAGAAAAAAGCTTATCAAATATCTTTTGAACTGTGTGGAGTATGTTTCTCATTTCTGAATTGAAGTTCAGATTCTGTGCAGCGGCTTCTTACTTTCAAAGGCTATTCATTATTTTCATTGATTTCTTTTAAGAATAGAAAACAAATGTTCAACCTCCTTTTTGCCTTCCCTAATTTACCTCTCTCAGTATGCCTACAACAATTTCATCTATTTAATCAAATGACAATTTTGATGAAATATGGACAGTGTCATTTCTTGTGTTCCTTAGGTTTGAGATAATGACCCGTTTCTCTTCGTCTTTCCACCAGCAGTGTTTTTGGAAGAGAAAGCTGGAGGAATAGCTTGTCTGAATGCTGGGGTCTGGCACTTTACAATAAGCCTCACGCTTAGTATGACTGGAACGCACGTGCTGCCCTGTTCACAGTCTTCACTAGTTAGTAGAAGAGCTCGGTGTTCCCCTTGCCGTGGGTGTGGGGCATGACTTAGTATCTGAAACTATTGTCCATGGAACTTGGGCTCTCCCACGAGATCACAAGGAAAGCATTCCAAGGTACCACGCACAGGAGACGGTGATGTGGCGAGGTTTATTCGGGTGGAAATAGAAGCTGCCCTGTGGGTTTCCAATGTCCCATCTCTGCCTGTCCTGCATGGAAAAAGTCCAACCTTGTCTTCAGCAAGGCCAAAACAAAAGCCAGTGTCCAGTGTCTTTTCTTCTATAGTAAAGTTTAGTCCTTTGGAATCCATGCAGTCAGCTGTGGGCATGCCGGGAGCTTGCAGGACCCACATGGTCCCAGGTGAGAGAGTGCACAAACAAACAGGGTGAGTGCGGGTCATGAACAAGAGAGAGAGCGAGTGAGCGAGCGAGTGCGAGCACTGCTTTGTTCCCCTGGGGTGATATTCAGGAGATTTTTCAAAATAAGCAACCAACTTCCCAAGCTTTGGGGGGCTTTTGATAGGTCCACCCCCTAGTTAGACTGACAAACCTCTGTGGTCAAGTACCTTCCCCTGTGCACCCCCTCCTCCAGCAATCTGGTACCTGAAGGGGGAGGGAGGAATGTTAATCCGATTGGCAGAGCGATGCTGTGATCCCCTGGGACATGAAGCTGTAGCTTCCTGGTGAAGCAAGCAGGCTCATGCTCCCAGTTTATTAAGCTCAGTGTCTAATTTCCTTTGCTCTCTGTCTCATTAATAACTGGTTAACTACCTAGGTAATAAAATGATTTTGCATGCTATATAGCATAACACTAAATGACATTGAATTATATAATGAAGTTTATTAATTTTTCGGTTTTCTTTCAATCCTTCTGAAAAAGGCTTGGTTTGATGTACTGTCTCTCCAGTTCTACCTTTAACACTACATGCATTTTTAACAAAATGAGGGCACTGCGCATCCCGGCCTTCAGCAGGCAGAAGTCACATGCTCTTTTGTTGTCTTCCATTTATTGCAGTTGATACTGGCTTTTACTTATGGTCTATAAAAGTTTCCAGTACATTTTATAAGTAAATAAATTTAAATAAATATTATGTTTATTTAATAGTGTCAGTGTTGCTTGAATTTGGGTAAAAAGTTTGATGTTAATACCACCTTTATCAAGGATAGTGAATGTTAAGCTATAATCGAAGCCAACTTCTTAAGAGAACACTGAAAATCTTTCAACTAGAACGACTTGGAAACCCCTCCACGTGTTTTTTTTCTGTTGGTATTTGGTAAAGAGATGTTCTCATGTGTTCTTTTAACTTCACCAGTACATGAATCCTTAATGGCCTGAACTAGGTTTCTTCGCTTCAGGTTACTTTATAGTTTAATATTACTGACTTTCACTTCCCAGGTTATGCCAGATTGGTAGTCCTTTAGAATTGGAAGCAATGAAACTTCAAAATATTGAGAATCTTGCCAAACAACACAGAGGGGAAAACACCAAGTCCTAGAATCTCCTTGCAGTAGCAATGATTTTCTCACTGGGCAGTGAAATGCTCACAGGCAGAGGAAAGGGGCCGATTGAGGAGCAACTCTGTGCTTTTCATTGCCTTTGGATACAGTCTCATAAAATAGCAAAATAAAAATTTGGTTTGGTCCTGGATAGCACTCTACCCTCTGCATCAGGTTTTTCCTGGTTTGGGTTTGCTGTTTTCTTGAAATCGTCATGAATCCCACACCATCAGATTTGTTCTCAGTTATGTGGAAATAACAGTCTCTCTTCTTGTCAATGAACCATTGTGAGTAAACATTTTTTTTTCTTTTTAGCTACAGCATTAAAAATGAAAGAAAAGCAATGTCATTGTGCCCTGGCATTTTGCAAATGGCAGGCATCTGATAAAGGTGTAACAGGAACTGGCCATGGTGGGCAACCCTGGACTCACATGTCCTCACCATTAAGAGGGGCAGTTTGGATGGGAAAATACTCTCAGTGGTAGTATCCGGGTCAATTTAATGGGACAAATTCATTATTAAAATTGTTACCATTGATTGGTATTTGATGCTTGTTGGATGAAAAGACCCCATCTCAGGGATTTATGGCAGAGTGTAATGTGTATCCCTCCTTGCTTTTGTAAATCATCCACATTAATGGTGTTGGTGAGTCACTGGCAGGAGGTCTGGTAGTGTGTTAGCCCTGCAGTCTTTGTAGTGTGATGAAGCTAAGCTTTCATCAGAAGGCTAAGCAGGTTTTCTAAAAAGTTTCTTGCTCATTTCTTTGCTTTTTAAAAATTAGAATTTTTCAGGGCTCTCTGTGTTCATCTTAGTTGATGGTAGATGGTATGAATTCCATTAAGTGTGAAGTTATCTTCTGATTTTTCATTTAGGGGCACACCCTTGAGTCATATTGATCTTGGAAAACATTGATCTTTGTAAATTCTTTCCAGTTTATTAGGGACCCAGGAAACTCAAGTATTTATTTAGTACTTACATGTGACTAGTGTACTGCTAGGTCATGCAAAACTCATACCTGTTTTGCTTCATGTGAGGCCTTTGCTGAGCATTGAGAATACACAAGACAGTACAATGCAAATAGTCTAACATGTATTATGACGTCTTACATCAGGCTCCAAATTAGAAAGTAGGTCCTGGCAAGGAGGTTGGAAGCATCCATCTCATAATAGTGTGGTTCGAAGCAGAGGGAATATTCCAGGAGTCATTTGGCACAACTGCAGGAATCCCTGTTAGAAGTAGGCCAGCGGCTTGGGCAGCAAGGCAAGTAACTTTAAGTCATCAGTCTGTTTCTGATGCTACACACACACAAAAGACATTAGAGGAAGGGCATAAATAAACACAATTCCAAAATATACATACGTAGAACACGATTGAAAAAGAAAAGCTGTGTTAAGCTTCTTCTGTCACAGTAAGAGATCAGTTCCTGCTTCTAGTTATAAAACAAACCCAGATAAGCTAAAAACCAGACAATTTCTAAATCAGAGCTTCAAGTATGAGGATGTAGAATTAGGAGTATCCGAGACATGACAGCATTCATTTTATAGTCTGCCACTGGGAAGAAGCCCAGCATTACACAGCAAACATCTAGGCACTTCAGGGAAGTCCGGGCTCCTACGAGTCAAGCAACTACTAGGCGTCTTTACTCACTGGACTTTATTTTAATTATCCAAACCAAAAATAACGCCAGTACAACTCCAAGTCAAAAATAGAGTGATAAGCCAAAGCTAGAGACGAATACAGTCAATTTCAAATAAGTGGAAGCAGCCACAGCCTCCAGGGCAGAGGGTCCTTAAGACAGAGTGCCTGTTTGTCCTGCTGCACCTACACACAGTGCTGCGATCCTTGGATCCCAGCTCGGTCCCTCCGGCAGGAGCTGGATCCCCCGCAGCCCCACCTGGCAGTGTGTCCCTCTGTCTCGCAGCAAACTTCCGCAGAGCTGCCACTATCCTTGCTGTTCTTGAATACCGCCATCTTCTTCGGAAGAAAATATACAGGCCCCAGTCTGTTCCTTTTGCATCTTTATTTTAAAATGAAAACTAAGTTATGTCATGGGACTGTTTTATTAAGAAGGGAAAAAAGGAATGGTCTGAGCTGTTCAAAGAGCAGGAAAAACATGCACAGCCAGTTCCTTGCATCCCTAGCTGTCTACCTGTTGGCCACGCAGCTTAATAACATGTTCTCGGTGATATCGTGAAAAGTGTCACTGTGATGACAGCATGTTCCTCAAGAGCCACACAGGGATCCAAAACAAGGAACAGCGTTCTGAGGTCAGGTTGTATTTCACTTGCAGTTAAGGCCACCCCTTCCACCTGCCTCCCCTCTTCTTCTCTTTTCTTCCTTGTCTAGACAAGTGATGGTGAAGTCTGATGAGAAAAATCATTACACCAAATTGATAGTTTACTATTGCTCTTTCTCGGAAAACCAGGCTGGTGTTTGCATTTTGTTTTTCTGAATCACGTATCGATGTAAAAATTAAAAAGCTGAAAGAATGAACTTCTTAAAAGTGAGAAAAGGAAGAAACTGAATCAAATAACTTAAAAGTCATTGCCATCCTCTGATTCTAAAATGTGAGCTTTAATCTTTATTTACTTTCATGCTTTATTGGTCCAGTCAGAGCTGTTCAAAAGTACCATTGATACATGACAACAGAAAACAGTGCTGTTTTAATTGGCCATTAATGAGCTAAATTTACATCAGTGTTTTGAGAATCAGTAATGAAATGCCACCAAAATCAGTAAATTCTGTTTCAGTGTTGATTCCTTTCTTCTGATCGGTCATTCCATGTGCACTCTCATGCAGTGGTCAGCAGGCTCTTTCTGTAAAGGGTCCGAGAGTAAATGTTTTAGGCTTTCCTGGCCACGTGGTCTCCATCTCTCTCATTGTGTGAAAGCAGTCACAGATAATATGTAAAGAACTGGGTGTACCTATGTTCAAATAAAACTTTTTGAATGCTGAAAATTGAATTTTATATAATTTCCACATCACAAAAGATTATTTTTATTGTTTAACTATCTAAATATGTAAAGCTCATTGTTAGCTTGAAGGCCATACAGAAATGGGTGGTAGACAGGATTTGGCCAACCCCAAGACTTTGTTTGAAGACTGGTGGGACAGCCAAATGAAACATCTCACTTTCTCAGGCTCCAAGAGAAAGCAGTAGCGTTCTCTTATTATCAGATATATACAATTACCACTGCCTACTAAGCAACCTTCTAAGCTTTACCTAAAACCACATTTAAAACAGAGTATTAAACATACCGTGATTTAATTGATGAAAATGTTGAACGGTTGTTAGAAGAGACAAGGCATGCCATGTGCTTTAAGCAAAATAAGACCGCCGTCTGTATCTGCTCAGGCATCTATGACATCGTACCACAGGCTGGGGACCTTCTAAACTGCAAGCACTTCTTGCCCATAGCCCTGGAAACTGGAAGGCTGAGACAGGGTGCCAGCATGGTCAAGTGAAGGCTTTCTTCCGGGTTTCAGACTTCTTACCTCCTCACACAGTGGAAGGGGCTAAGGAGCAATGTGGAGTTTCCTTTGTAAGAGCGCTTTTCCCATTCGTGTGAGGGCTCCACGCTCGTGACCTCATCATCTCCCAACAGCCCCCTCTTCTAATGCTGTCACCTTTGGGGATTAGGATTTCAACCTTAATTTTTAGGGGACACAGACCATCCATAGAAACCTCTAAAAAATGGTAGTTCTCTGTTTCTTTATGTGTTCATTAGTCACCACTGTATGCTTGGCCCTGGCTGGGGTTATGGCAGTGGGCATGCACTCTGTGGTTCCAACTTTTGGAAACTTTATTTCATTGGTATTTGACTGATCTTCTAGATTAGTCAATTAATCTGAAGCAGATATATCTGCTGCATGATCATCCAGACTCAAAAGTCACACATGGAAATGATTGGTTATACAACCTATTCTAAAACTTCTCAGTTCCTGTCCAGTAGCATTTCCCATTAAAAGTGTCTGTTCATTTTTGATGGTGCCTGAAAGAGGGCCTACAGCTTTTACTTCCTGACCTTTGGGTCAAGGCTGTCGTTTTACCCACGGTATATTTTTCTTTCAGATGCATGCTCCGAGTCCTGGACTCGTTTGGCACCGAGCCAGAGTTTAACCACGCTAGCTATGCTCAGTCTAAAGGCCACAAGACCCCCTGGGGAAAATGGAATCTGAACCCGCAGCAGTTTTACACCATGTTCCGTGAGTATTCGTGTTCACCTCTGCTTTCCAGAACACCACTGAAGACAAATGGGAAAAGAAATTAGACAGCCATGCGTTTTTGGTTATGGTTCCCAGGGCCCTGAGCTGTAGAAATATGTGGCATTGAACCTTGGCCTTGAGAATAACTGATTTTCTCTTAATTACAATCAAAAGGCCATGTGTGCCTTTTGCAAAAAGCCTTAGAAATGTTCTGGAGAAAAATGTTCCCATAGGAAGTATCACAAGAAACCATCGGGAAAGGGGCTCAGGCCAACCTTGGACTGGCAGGCACTGAACCTGTTGCCCGCCACACCGGTGCTGTTCAGGGTCCACTGGACCGTGATGAGGGAGGAGGTCTTCTGTCCTCCAGAAGAGGACACATTTTTCCAAATAATTAAACCTTAATTATTTCTGTATCAAACTTTGCAAGAAAAAAGTTAGCGTCTTTTAAATGGAACCTTTAAAAACTCGATTTCATGCGTTACTGACTTCCCTAACACGAGACCCAGGAGGAGGCCTCACTGTTCCTGAGGCAGTGTGCACACTGCAGACGGTGCCCTGATGGGCCCTAGTGGTAGGCTCTTAGCATTTTTCTGTTTCTGTAGTGGTTTTTGTTCCCCACTTTCACTGCCTCTTATTGCTTCTATCAGTTTACCTGCCTCTAGCCTCATTTCCTTCCTAGTTAGCTGAGTACTCTGAAGCCAGATTTGTTATTTAAGTCAGTAGATCTTGGCGATGAGGTGAAGTTCAATTCTGTAAATGAAAGGTCACATGAGCAAAACAGTTCATTGGGATGCTCAGAGTGGAGAATTCTCATTTTCCAAAATTACCAGATAATTTTAATCAAGAGGTTTCCATCCTAGAATGAATTGTCTAAGAGGTAAATCTATTTCATTGTGTAGTTGTGACCCGAGGGACCCCTACCCTGCCTTTGCCCATGCGGTTGCCACACCTGCTTGTCTGCAGTCACCTGAAGGTGACTTTTTTCTCAGGCTCATTAAGTGTGACAGCAGACATATTGGACTAAGCCCTGGGTGTAGGGTATGAGAAGGGGGGAAATTAAGAAGGGTTAATTTTAACAATCAGCTCGTGTTTAAATGTTGTTTTTAGCTCAGATTTGTGAGAGCATGTTATGTGCATGGTAAACATTATTACTGTTCCTGGAGCCATATCATCCTGTCCATAGGGCACAGTTTAGGGGACAAACTAATATTTGGCATGTTCAGTGACAGGTGGCTGGTCACCGTGGTGAAGTGTGTGTAACTTTGAGAGGCTGGGATCAGGTGATACAAAATAATGTAAGCAGTGACCTGTGTGGTACATCAAATGAAAAAAAAATGTTAGCTGGGTCTAAAATGGCCAGAATTGATATGTGTATGCCCTCCACGAGATGGTGTTTTTCTGCATCTAGGGAGTAGAGAACTTTTCCAGAAAGTATTATAAAGTTCTTTTTTAGAGTGTTAGAAATCAGAGTCCTGAAAAACCGGTTTTGTTGTACATGAATGGAGGATTTCCACAGTGTCAGTTGATTGAACTGAAAGAAATTCACTGCTTCCAACATAATTAGAGGTGAAACCAGATTAATTCCCGCTAACCCAGGAAGTGTGTAAGTGTCCTAACTGACTCATATGCAGCAGGAATCAACGGGAAACTGATGTATTTGATAGCCCTTAAAAAAAAAGAAACTATGGCAAAAATAACAACAGTAACACCATAAGCAAATCCTATAGCAGACAGTTAGTATCACTAATATATAAAGAACTTCTAAAACATGAGTAAAAAGTTCTACAATCTAATATGAAAATGGACAAAAGCTATTACTGGTTCAGAAAATAATGAAATATGTTACTTCAAACAAATTAAAACGGTTACCCTCACTCACAATACACAGAAACGAGTTTTCAGGCTGCACCGAGATACTGCATCCCACATATCAGTTAGGCCCACATCCCAGAGTTTGCTGGCCTGTCTGCTCCAGTCGTGTGGCTCCGGAGAGCTGTCTTTTCCAAGCCCGCGGTTGGAATGCAGTACGACACCAGCTGGGGGAGGGTGCGTGTCGCCATCTTGCCAAACTACCTTTGCACCTTTCCCTGGACTGAACTGATCACATCTAGGACTCTGTCCCGAAGATATGTGAGCAAAATTTAAAGAGGCACGTGCAAAGGCCATTTATTGTGGCACTGTCTGTAACAGGCAAAGACTAGAGCCCTGCTGGATGACTCTGCTGGAGTGTCATCTCATCCACCAGAGGGTTCCAGGTTTGATCCCCAGTCGGGGCATGTAAGGAAGGCAACTGGCTGCTGTTTTTCTCTCTCACATCGGTGTCTGTCTGTGCTCTCTCTCTCTCTCTCTTTCTCCCTTCCTCTATTTTTATTTTTATTTTTTATTTTTTAAGATTCTGTTTATTTATTTTTTAGAAGAAAGTAGAAGAAAGAGGGAAACATCAATGTGTGGTTCCCTCTCGCACACCCCCTACTGGGGACCTCGCCTGCAACCCAGGCACTTGCCCTGACCGGGAATCGAACCAGCAACCCTTTGGTGCACAGGCTGGTGCCCGATCCACTAAGCCATATCAGCCAGGGCTCCCTTCCTCTCTTTCAGAAGCAATGAACGTATCCTCAGGTGGGGATTAAAGAATAAAAAGACTAGAAATACCCCAAATGTTCCTAACAGGCGACTGAGTGAATAATGGGTCCACTGATAGAGTGAAGCACTGTGTAACTGGGGGAAGCAAGAGCAGGGTCTCCACTGCTCTGGAGGGAGATGTTCAGGATACACGAGGTGATAAAAATCAAAGTGCAGGGCAGCGCAGTTACTCCCTAATGTAAAAGAAGGGTATGAAGAAGCAGTGTGTGAATACATCCATGTATATGAATATGCTTGTATTTTCAAAAGAAACAGTGGAAGAATAAATAAGCTAATAAAAATGGTTATCACTGGAGGAGGGGTGTGCAGGGTGAGGGATAGAAAATAGATGTCTTTTTACATACCTTACTTTGACTTTGGAACCATTCATTGTGTTACATAGCTTAAAAAGAAAAATCAAAAAGAGAAAAGCATTCACTAATAACTGGAACAGGCTGAAAAAAAAATGAAGTAAACCTAGTGATATATCCGGTTAGTGTTAATCTCTCACACAGAGAAAATAAATGATTTCGAGTGACTTTGAAACAGTCTTTGGACCATACAATTATAGGGGGAGACATTTATATTATTATTTGAAAACACTGCACCTATATGGTAGAAATCAAAATTTTCAGTGTATAAGAAAGGAGGAGTACTTAAAGACTGTATAATACTTAATGTGAATAGGAAATAATCAATATGAACTTTTCTTTTCTCTTTAAAAAGATAGTGTTTCCCAGCCTGGTACTTTGAAAAGGATCAAAAGTAAAGATGACTTGCTAGCAGGCAGTATTCTCAGCACTCAGACTGGGGTTCCCTAAATACTGTTCCCACCAGAAGGAACCTCCTGCTTAGATAAGTAGCTGATTCCAGGTCTAGGGCTGGAAGCTTGCAGGATGGGACATCTTGTCATGCCAGACCAGCGGGGTGGAGTCAGAAGGAGACAGGAACCAAAGACAGGTTAGTTAGAGCATTAAATTGAATAATGACTGCAGTTGGTTGAAGTCAGACCAATGACAAATAATCCATGATGCTTTAAACGAGAAAAACCCATAAAATCAGTCATCACCTTAGCAAGTTGCTAGAACACATCTTCATTAGTCTGAAAAATAAAGGGAAAGAATCCTGCTTTGATCCTGATTTTCTACGACAAATTGTATTTGAAGACAATCAAATAGTTGATGAGAACAACTTGCTAATCATGAGGAAGTCACAGCTAATAAATGCAAAGGCACCCAAGAATTAGAAAATCAGCATTGTATATGTCCTCATGAGATAATGGAGCCGTGCGGGGATCCTCAGTGGTTGAGAAACCCATCAAGTAACAGGTTGGTGGGAAGATTCCTCATGGGTGAAGCTGTCTTGGATGGAGGGTATAGGGAAATGAAGCAGCTTGGGATCTTTTATCATGCTGAGATGTGTCAGTTGGAGGATTTGCAGCCAAATCCTACGCTGTTTCTCAGAGCCTTGACCTCAGGGAACTTGGGTGTATTCTGGAGAGAGGGGCCCTTCCTTCCCACACGGCAAAGGGATGGGGTCCATTCCAGTCCAGCCCTGTCTTTCCCACAAAATCTTTCATTCCCTCACTCTTTGGAGAAAATGTGGCTATTCCAGTGGTCTAAAGTGCAAATTTACTAGTGCTTAGCATATGGGCTGATAGTCATCATTGTATAATCGATGTATAAATGTGCACGTGTATTGCAGGTGTACTTAGATTGTTTTCCACTGCTGGGTGCACAATAAAAAGTCTAGAGACCACAGAAATAGAGTGTTGTAGGGTCAAGCTGTGTCCGAGGGCACCTGTCTTCTTTGCGATTGTTAGTGTTCTACTGGCATGTGTGGAGTGCAGGGAGAGAACGGGAGGCCTGGTCAGAAAGGGCCCAGCAGGAGGGTGACGAAGGGAAAACGCACCAATGGAAGCATTTTTAGGAGCAGGGAAGTGAGATATTTCTGAGGAGAACACATCTGTTCTCAAATATTAAGAGTACACTTTTCACTTGAAAGCTGTTCCTGTTTCTCCTCTAATTCATTTCCTGAGTTGGAGGAGTTTCTACGAGTTGAAGAGGCTGGTTTTTCTCTATTGCTTTGCCCCAGATCTCAGAATTTCACTGGGACCATCCTCCTTGTATTCTGTTTGCAGTCGGACAGTTCTTTATGTCAGCGTAGACTGTTTCTGATACCTTCCCAAGCAGCTTCTACAGGGCCCAACTGAGTGGTCAGACAGCTATTTCTATGGAGCATCTTTTTCTAAGAAGCTTAGAGGTCCGGTTGTTCCTCCCTTAAAGATGAGCCCTTCTTTTCTGCTTACCCACACTCTATCATGGCCTCTGAGCTAGGCACTGGGGCCTTTATCCGGCCACCAGAGCTGGCTCTTG